AGCGAATGTCTAAGAAGTGATGCGAGGACTTACTCGTCAGGGTCAAAGACGTTCTCGATCTTGACGCACTTGGACGCCATGGGAGCGGCGGGGGCCGGGGCGGGAGCCTTGCGAGTGGTGGGGACAGGCATAGCCTGACTGCCCTGCCTGGAGTCACCGGGAACGTCGCGACGCGCAAGTGCGTCCATGAGCCTGCTGCGGTCATAGGTCTTGAAGTTGACCCCAGCGACATCGGAGTCGTCAAGAGCAGAGGCGCCGCTAACACCACGGTCGTCCTTGCTATGGGTACGGTCGAAGACACCACCAGTACCACCAGCGTAGGCGCCACGGCCACCAGCACCGCTGAAGGCAGAGCCTTGGTAGGACTGAGCCTGCTGGGTGAATGTACGGAGGAGGTTCGCGGTCGATTCGGGGGTGAACTTGTCGTTGCCGAGACCGACGCGGATCTGGCGGCCAGCGAGCTCGAATCCGTTCATCTCTGCGAGAGCATTCTTAGCGTGCGAGGGGTCAACGAACCTGCGATGTGTTAGCAAGATATATTGCAGTGAACATGAACAGACGACTTACTGAACGAAACCATATCCCTTGGAGCGGCCAGGGTTCAACTCATCGCGCTGGAGGATGACCTGCTCAAGCTCACCAAAAGGCTCGAAGATCTCCTGGAGATCCTTCTCGGTGACGCTGAAGTGGATGTTACCGACGTAGAGACGGTGGAAGGGGGCGCCGTTGGCACCGGGTGCAGCACCGCCCTCGGAAGGACGAGCAGCACGGTTCTTCTCGGCTTCAGTAAGCTGGGCAATGATGGGGACGCCCTTCAGTTTCTGGCCAGTAAGCTCCAGTGCAAGAGGGACAGACTCTTCAGCCTCGAACTCAACGTAGCCGACACTGGACGGATGTTAGCATGTGTGTATGGGGAACGGAGAAGTGAGTACTCACCCCTTGCTACGGCCGGTAACTCGGTCCTTGACGATCTGAGCTTCGACAACAGGGCCGACACGCTCGAAGAAGCTGCGCAAGTGACGCATCTCAGCACGCTGGGAGATCTGCTGGACGAAGATGGTGCGCTTGTCGCGGTCGTCCTCGGTGACTTCTGGCTTGGGCGGGGTGTTGTTGCGACGGCTGTTGCGGCGATCATCACCACCGTTGCGGCGACGGTCGCGGGACCTCTCGCGGTACCTGTCGTTGCCGCGGTCGCGAGGGGAGCGGGAACGCGGACGACCGCTACCGCTGTAGAAGTCGCCTCCGCGGTCGCGGCCTCCACGACCTCCACGGCGGTCGCGCGAGCTGCTGCGGCGGAGCCTATCACGGTCTTCATCTGTGTCAGCACCTTTGCTAGAACGGGGACGGCTTCCGTCTCTTCGGCGGTGGTCTCTATCGCGGCTGCGACGGCGATCTCCATTGGACTCACGATGACGGTCCCCACGGTCTCGGCTCCTATCACGGCGGTCACGGCGATCTGAGTGGCGGTCGTCGCGGCGGCTGTCGGTGTCGCGCGCCTCGCTGCTGGCAGTGCGCTTGCGCTCGGCGTCCTTCATCTCGACCTCGCGGGCGGTCTCCTCGAGGAGGGCCTCGACTGCGGCTTGGGTAGACATGGCGACGTCGGTGGCGGTTCCTAGCTCTCGATAAGCGTAGCTGGTGGAAGTGATGCGCGATGTCACTGCAATGGGCGATGTGTTGTTGTGATGGCGAGCTGGGGCTCAAGTATTGATTTCAATTGCGATATCGAACGGACGTAGAAAATAATACTGCTGGCGCTTGCCGAATGACCTCTTGACCGAGATGCACTTGACAAATGGGTGCTTGATTGAAGCTTTGCTCGTGCAGCACGACGTGTTAATGGGTGGGTGAGTGGAAAGTGGAGAGGCAGGCCTGGGCGTAATAACTTGAAAAGTTGGAGGGGCCTTGGCAGGGTCCGCGTGACTAATAGGCAGCAAGTCAAGTGTGGCGGTGACTGCCGCCGTGAGCGCAACAGGGAAATGAGCAGTGACTGAAGAATGGTGAACAGAAGTGAAGTGATTGTTGGCATTACTATTATCTGAGGTAGTGAGTCATAAAGTTATGTACAAACATCAAAGCTGCATCGACCCAAAATGGCCCTGCAGACCCGCTGAACGCCTTCTTCAATGCCGGTCTTGACAACGTGGTGACAGGTGGGTGTCTAATAACAAAAGTCTATTCGTACGTCGCCATTTAAGTGGACTTGATGACCTTGGAGGGTCCCATCTCAAGCTCGGTGCCGAAGATGCGGTCCCAGAAGCGGCTGGTGACACCGAAACCGTTTTGGTAGTCGGCGAAGTGGTGCGCAAGGTGGTACTTCTTGAGTTGCTGGTAGTAGGGAGGTAGCCTTCAGTTTGTTAGCGACGTCCTTCATAGTTATCTATGGGTATACATACTTCTGGTGGTGGAGGAAGTAATGTGTCATGTCGTAGCAGGTGTAGCCAAAGATACCACCACAGTAGGCAGCCAGAGCGGCATACCAGTTCCAGAAGATGATCGCGTGTGCAAACTTCCAGAACGGCGCCGCCAAGACGGCGAAGAGTGTGGGTGGCATGACGAGCCTGTATCTGTCCATGGGAAGGTAGTGGTGAATACCGTGAAGCAAGAAATGGAGGGTGATCGCGACGCGGTTATCCGGGAGATGGCTGCTTGATGTTAGTACAAACTGATCCATATGGATGATGAGTACTTACTCGTCTAAATGGAACAAGCCCCTGTGCAGGACGTATTCGATAATGGTCCAGAATCCCAGCCCAAAGACCCAGTACCCAGCAAGTTCCGTCGCGGAGGATAGTCCACCAAACGCAACGGCTGTTCCATACGCGACACAGGGCCACCAGAGCGATGGTACGACCCACCACGGCGTCTTGCTGAGCGGCTCCAGGAAGTTACCGAACAGCGGCGCGGAGTCGCCTCCCTTGTAGTGGCGCGGGCGATGCACTTGCTGTAGGTAAAAGTCCTTGCTGAATCCACCATTCCAGACCTGCATCAGAAGCGGCTTGCTCAGGTCCAAGAACTTGTGCTGCTTGTAGTCCTGGTTCGGGTCCGTCGGTCTTGAAAGATCTTCCGCAGATGACATGCCGGTTGCTTCGTACAGCGGCTTGCCGTCCTGTTCCATGCCCTTGAGCTCCAGCTTGCCAACCTCGGAAGATGGCAGAGGCACAATATCTGCAGGATTCGAGCTCTTTACTACGCCATTCAGGAGAGTTTCGGGAACCATGAAGCCCACCAAGTTCTCTTCAAGAATCTCGTACGCAGAGTCGGAATGGGTGTGTGAGATCTCGTCCTTTAGGATTGCCTCGATGTCTTTGCCCGCATATTCCAGGATAAACTCGGGGCCACCGGGATGGCCATCAAGGAAGTCGGTAACATCGTAGACCTTGGTGCCAATCGTGACATAGCAGGACTTCTCGTTGTTGTGCGCGCGCACCTCGGCGGTCGGAATCGTCGGAAGGGTGCGGCCGGGCATTGTGGTGGTTGTAGACATCAAGTCTATGTTCGGCGGTGGGTTGTTTGCGGTACGTAGGAATGGGACTGGCGAGGGTTGTTTATATGTGTCCAGCGGTGTATCTTCAAACACTGGTCTCGGCGGTGTGGTGAATAGCTGCGGTTGCGTGGCGACACTAATTCGGTGCCCGAGGAGAGAAGCTGCGGCGCAGTAAAACACAGCACGATGTAGAGAAGGAGCGTATAGGGTGGGAGGATGCGCGGTTGAGTAACAATACAACGCGCGGGAGTGTACGGAGGGTAATGTAGCAATCAGTCAATTGTCAGGAGAGCCAAGAGATGCGCAGATCTCACCACCCGCAGCTAATGGTGGCGAGACCGGCATTCGTGCGCTTCCACCTCCGAGATGCCACCACGAAATCTCAGACCGCGAATAGGAGATGCAATTTCCCCTCGCCTGGTATTCGCCGTAGTATGCGCTGATTGGCCTCGGTCTCTTGTAGCGCTCTGCTCATGCCCATAGTCGGATCACTGATGTTCTAGTTGTCCGCTTTCGTTGTCCGAATGCTTTCGCTGCCCGGATGCTTTCGGTTGTGGTTTGCATGTCGACCACGCCTGACGCCTAACGCCCCAGGGGATGACAGACTTCCATCGCATTAGTTTGCATGCACAACATTCCAATCAGTCCATAATTTCTAGGTAGACGTAAAATCCTATCTCGATTGATATTGCCATCATGAAGGACCTTCTCAGGATCTAGTGCGACACATAATCCGGCGTACCTTGGTGACGCTTTCACGTCTTTCGCATGCTTCACCCGTTGCATGGCTACCAATGAGAACCCGAATGCAGCTTGCATTGTTGCGAAACTATCTGGGTGTCTGGGTCGCATTCGCATTTCTTTGTAGAGGACAGCAGCAAGACTAATCGATAAGACTGAACATCTACAAGGTCGACTAACTCTCAACGACCGAGACCTAGACATCTTATCAGATGCCTATCTCAAAGAATGCAACCATCAAGCAAGCCACCAACTCATCGGCCCGTTGTTTGGAAAGCCATGGCGTGGACGCCAATGACAGGCTGTGAGGCTGTCCGTCAGCCTTGCTGGACCCTTGTCTGCCAGGGGCAGGAACACGACATTGCGTCACTGACGGATACCAAGTCGCGACTTCTTCACTGCAGCCAACAACAGCCAATTCTTGGATATGTGCCTTGCTTGCGGTGCAGGGCCCCGGCCCTTAACCTCACGACCTTTCCCAGCCTTATTCTCAGCATCCTCACAACCTTACGCTCATCTCTATACCTTTGCGACGAAGCTCAGCAGATCTGCACCCTTGCATCACATATCTAGCAACCATTCCTCACCACGAAGACCTATTCTGTGATTGCGCATGCGCCGTGCGCAGTCACAGCCCATCATGTCTGCTGTTATGTCCACCAGGGATCATACCCGGTCTATAAACCGCCTCTCTATCGCACAGCTATGCACCCTCCTCTGCCTGAGCGCGCTGCCTATGGGCGACGCCATTCATCACATGGGACCTAATCACCACATGGCATTTAAGGCACCCTGGAAGACCAATCGAAGGAAGCTGGACATCACACCCCTGCTGGTGACGAACCAGTGTCCCGAGCCCATCTGGCCTGGTATTGGAACGCAGTCCGGCACAGGTCCAGGCGAGACTGGCTTCAAGCTTGAACCTGGGGAGACGAGGAATCAGACTGTATCAGAGGACTGGCAGGGTCGAGTCTGGGGGAGAACAAACTGCACCTTCAATGACGATGGCACTGCTGCTGCATCGGGTCGTGGAAAGGCTTGCACATCCGGCGACTGTAATGGCGCCTTGAACTGTCAAGTCGGAGTATGCCATACCCTTGCCGCCTTCTAACCACCTCCCGCTGACTCAGACACAGGGAGATGTACCCGTTTCGCTCGCCGAATTCACGTTGGACGCCGGAGACGGAAACACATACTACGACATCTCGCTCGTCGATGGCTACAATGTCCCCATGGCAATTGTCCTCCAGCCACTGGACAACGTGACGCTCGACGACATACCTCCGAACCTCACCAATCCGTCATGTCAAGGCACAGACGGACTCCTGGCTACCCAGGGCTACAACCCGTACCCAGAATTTCCCAACTTCCTCCGCACGAATACCTCGTATCCACTCTCCTTCGACCAGGACGTAGACGAGAATAAGATCTCCAAATGGTGTCCATGGGATCTACAGCAGAGTCCTCCAGAGAAGCCTGGCGACGGCGTATATCCGTACCCTGACGACAACATTCAACGGCCACAATTTAACCCCTGCTTCTCCGCATGCGCGAAGAACAACCAGCCCAAGGACTGCTGCACAGGCGAATACAACTCACCCAACAAATGCGAACCGAGCGAGTACTCCAAGAACGTAAAGGCAGTCTGTCCAGATGCTTACAGCTATGGTATGTACCCCACCTACACCAGATCATTTGAGTTAGACTAACAGCCGCATCAGCATTCGACGACCAATTCTCTACCTTCATCATCCCTTCTGGCGCCGGCTTCGAAGTCGTATTTTGTCCTGGGGCGCGTTCCACAACCATCCTTGCGACGAGTCGAGATAAGATGCTGGCGTTGGCGCAGAATGGGAGGGTGGAGAGACAGACTACGATGATGATGAGCGAGCCCAGGAGCGACGAGGTTCGGAGAAGCGCTGCGTCGGGGATATCCCGACATGACGGCAGCTTGCTCGCGTTTGTCTCGGCTGTGGTAGCTGCTGCTTCAGCTTTGTACTTTTGGTAGCAAAGCGATCGCACATGGTCAAAAGGGGTCGAGAAGCTCCGTTGTTGCTGGTAGTTGAAGGTTGGATAGCTCTGATGGTTGCTGTCGTTTGATACTCGGATAGTTCTATACCCTTCGTCTTTGTACGAATTCTTCTTCAAACACCCCATTACATTAACTACCTGTTCGCCGAAGACTTACTGCATGCTCACATATGCCGCCTCGGAAAGCCGGCAGCCCATTCACCTCCGTTGTCAAAGAAGCAATCCTGAGGTTGCACGACGCCGGCACCATCCCACACCGCGTGGGGCTGCACCACCCGGAACACTGCCGTCGCGCCTCTCCCATCCTACACAACACTTCCAACTTCTGCATTCGACACGGAGCGGCCAGGACCGCTACCATCTCGCAACTCGCCGTCTATACCTGCACCTCGTGGCCGCTGGACGGCTGAACTGCGGCTCAAGACCGCATCTTCCGACGTCAGATCCACAAATGGTATCGCGCTAGCTGCTTTGGGCGCGGAGCAGGTACTCCGTCTTCCTTTCTTGACCACGTTAAGCGCGAGAGGGAGCTCAACGCGGCACTGCTTGCTCCGGAGTGGTGAAACGTCTGATGTGGTATGGCTGAGGTCTCCAGTCGTCATTCAAGAGAAAGGAAGTCCCTGCCTAGGTGATCGTACCTACCCCGCCAATTGGTAGTACCAGACAGCCACTTCCCGTGCTGGCAGAAGACTGAACAATTACCACCATCTTGAACAACGAGAATCATGGCGAAGGCACAGGCTCTCAGCGTTCACGTCTTGTCGGAAGGATGGACGTTCAAGCAGGGTGATGATCCTGCTAAGGATGCGTGGATGCCAGTCAAAAAGGTCCCTACGAATGTTCACCTGGACCTGATGGACAATGAAAAGTACGTCCAACATCCCAAAACCTACATGAACTTGAAAGCACTGACACGAAGACTAGGATCCCAGATCCCTTCCTGGGCTTCAATGAACTCGAAGCAGAATGGGTAGCGGACAAGACTTGGACCTACAAAGTCGAACTGCCCAAGGTACCGGAGGCGAAGGAAGGCATCGCACATGTACTCGCATTTGACGGTCTCGACACATTCGCTACTGTCAAGCTCAATGGAGAGACTATCCTGAAGAGCGACAACATGTTCGCCCCGCATCGCCTTGATGTGACTAAGAAGCTCAGCTCCGACGGCGTTAACACTTTGGAGATCGACTTCGCCTCCGCACGTCTTGAAGCCATCAAGATCAAGGAGAAGTATCCGGATCACAGATGGATTGGATTCAACGGCGACATGTCAAGGCTTGCCGTGAGGAAGGCCCAGTATCATTGGGGCTGGGACTGGGGACCGATCTTGAACACTTGCGGTCCGTGGCGCGAAGTACGACTGGAGACCTATCAAGCACGAGCAAAAGACCTGAGAGTGGACTACAAGCTTGACGATAGCCTCAAATCCGTCCAAGGAACCATCTCTGCGACTGTTGAGGGCGACTCGGCTGAAAGCGTCAGCTTTGATGTATACGATGGGGATCAACGTGTCTTCAGAGAGACTGCGAAAATAAGCGACGGCATTGCTAAAGTGGACTTCCATGTCAGCAGTCCCAAGTTGTGGTACCCGCACGGTTATGGTGAGCAGCCGCTGTACACTGTCACTGCAACGGTCCTTGCGAATGGTACGGATATTCATCAAACATCACGACGAACGGGATTCCGGAAAGGGGAGCTCATCCAGGAACCGGATGCGATTGGCAAAAGCTTTTACTTCCGCGTCAATGGCGTGGATGTGTTCTGTGGCGGTTCGGACTGGATCCCCGCCGATTCATTCACTCCCCGTGTGACCGAGGAGAAATACCGTAAATGGCTCGAGATGATGGTCGATGGCTATCAAATAATGATCAGAATCTGGGGCGGCGGTATCTGGGAAGAAGACATATTCTACGAGCTCTGCGACGAACTCGGTGTCCTTGTGTGGCAAGATTTCATGTTTGGGTGCGGCAACTATCCCGCCTTTCCGGACATCTTGCGATCAATCAAGGAAGAGTGCACTGCCAACGTCACCAGATTGCGACATCACCCATCCATCATCATCTATGCGGGGAACAATGAGGACTACCAGGTGCAGGAGTCGTATGGCTTGACTTACGATTACGAGGACAAGAACCCGGACAACTGGCTAAAGACCGATTTCCCGGCCAGGTACATATACGAAAAGGTACGTGCGTATCGCATACTAGCAAATACCATTACGCTGACAGTACACGTTGGTAGCTGCTGCCCGACGTCGTTGCGGCGGAAAGCCCACATGTGCCATATCACCCAGGGTCACCATGGGGGGACGGACTTAAGACGTCAAACCCCACAGTGGGTGACATGCATCAGTGGAATGGTAACAATTTCCACATTGCCTCACATATAGTATACTAACGATGGATACAGTATGGCACGGCACACAAGAGAAGTACCAAATATTCGACACGCTCGGGGGACGCTTTAACAGCGAATTTGGCATGGAAGCCTTCCCACACATCGACACGATCAAGTACTACTGCACCGACCCCTCGCAGCTTTACCCGCAAAGCCACATGCTTGATTTCCACAACAAGGCCGACGGCCACGAGCGGCGAATAGCCACGTATCTGGTGGAAAACTTCCGGACCAAGACCGACCTAGAGGTATGTGCCGTCCGACGGTTACCCGGTTCATGGTCGGGAACTAGACCAAGTGGGCCGCAATATAGCCGGTATAGGGTACTGACAGCGAATAGTCGTTCATCCACCTTACACAGCTGTCGCAAGCCGAAGCACTAATGTTCGGCTACAGGGGCTGGCGGCGCCAGTGGGGACAAAACAGGCATTGTGGTGGTGCACTCGTCTGGCAGCTCAACGACTGCTGGCCAGTTACCTCGTGGTCCATCGTCGATTACTTCCAGCGCAAGAAACCGGCTTACTACGCCATGCGCCGCGTACTTGCCCCGATTGCTGTGGCAGTCAAACGGGCGCATTTTGATTGGAGCGTCGTGCATGCCAGAGTGCCCCCAACGAGCGACTACGAAGTCTGGGTCGCGAGTCAGAGGCTAGAAGAAGTGGTCGCAACTGTTGAGTTGCGGTATATTAGCGTTGAGAGCGGCAAGGAGATTAAGAATAAGATCGTCAAGAAGGATATCAGGCTCGTACCGAACGGAACGACCGACGTTCTCGCTGGCACGATCGACAACCGGAACGAGGAGCCGCATGTCCTAGCCGTACGCATATGGGTCGATGGCGAAATCGTGTCGCGCGACGTCGATTGGCCGCAGCCGCTTAAGTATCTGGACTTCAAGGACCGCGGGCTGGAGGTTGTACCCCAAGGCGAGACTATCACAGTCAAGGCACAGAAGCCGACCAAGGGTCTGGTCTTTGAGGAGCGCTCAGGCGTCCTCGTTCACGACAGCGCTATAGATGTTGTTCCTGGCGATGAGCAAGTCATCAAGGTCAAGGGGCTGGGTAAGCAGGACGAACCGTTGAGGTGGACATACTTGGGCAAAGAGTAGCGATCAGCTCGTAACTGTGGATTCGGAATGTGGAGGTTGCTTGATGAGGTGGGAAGGATGCAGGATCACAATGCTGTGGAGTATGTGGAAATGCAAAGTATACATGTAGTTAGAGGAACATGTCTTCGCGCATGCTGACGCGCCAGCACTCCAAGTCCTTCATCACCACATCATTACTTGCAACATCCACCGGCCCTGCGTAAACAGTCATCTCGGACGATCTAACGTAAACTTTGTGAATACGGACATTATAGGCAAGGAGCAACACATTTACGAATTACCGGATTACTCAACGGTAATACTACGCATTGTCGAGTGCATACATAGAGTTTGAACCGGCGGCCTATATGTGAGGCTGCTATAGGTCCGTCGTCATGTTGGCCTGCCAAGGCCTGGATATGAAAGGCGTCTATCTTTCCAGGGTAAATTAAATGGCGTTGCTGGCGGGATGTCGCATTGGTTGGACGCGGCATGCATGGGGTAGAGGGGTGCAGGCAAATGCAACCTAGCCGCATGCTGTCACGCAAAGCCGGTTCCCAAAGTTCGCAGCGATGGTGGTGCAGTTTGCGGGTCGAGAGGCTTGGGAAGGAGCGAAGGGTTGATGGGAAGGTGGTGGACGACCTCCCTCTCTTTCTGCGTGTTTGTGTTTGTGATTATGATAGAGCATACATACCCAGTACCTACGAAGCCTTGCAAATAGCCGGTGATGCTTTCCTTCAGCGCTCTCCTAGTACTGGCTAGAGTACTGCTGCATGGGGTAGAGGGTGTAGACAGTATGCATCCTAGCCGCATGCATCACGCAAAGCTGGTTCGCAGCAACTACGCTGTGCTCTCGGCCTAGGAAGGATCGCGACCCGGACGCTGGTATGTGGACTTTTATTTTGGATACTGAATATGCCGGCAGAAGGCCGTGGTAGCGAACACGCGCAGACCCTCTTCGTTCTCTCGCCTGTAACGCGGCTTGCCTGTAATGACCGGCCTTCATAAATCGGGTGAGCAGTACCCGAAACATGGTGTTCGACGTTTGGGTCTGGAATTTAGGTTCGCAGCGCACCACGCGCTCTCCCCAGAGACCCACACACACATGTACACGTTCTCTAACGTAGACCCTCCATCCTTTCTCATCCGCGGACATGCGATCGAGAGTACGCGCTGCTTGATCGTGGCGGGAAGGATCCGCACTCGCTGAAACGACGTGCAGTAGTGCTGCCGCAGGCGGCCAGGTGGGAAAAAAGGGTTGCTTCATGTCCCATCGGACGAGAAAGGCAACTGACATGCGCGATCTCTTCTGGAACGCATTTCGAAGCCGTCGGCAGCGGCACGCTCCCATCTCTCGACACCAATCTCGCTTGGCTCACCCCCTCCCCTCCCCCTCGCAAGCCCTGGAAGCAAGGCAAGACGCAATCCCTTCCCGTCCGCCCGTCTCAACGGTCGCCTGCACTTATTTTTTTTCTCCTCATCTTGCCAAACTCCACCAGTCAGCCCTGCTGCATGCATCACCAGGGTGCTGTGGGCTATAATGCGGGGATTATACCCTCTTGAATAGTCCACTCTGGAAGGCTGTTTTGTCGCTCCGGCCCTGCTACTGCGACTTGCGACTAGCTTCCGCGCGCCGACTTCATACACACAAGCTTTCTGCAGGATTATGACGGCACATGCCTGGAAGCCAGACGCACCTACGTTTACGTTTTTGCCTCTGTGCACTTTCTCGTTTTTTTATCCAGGCTGCAGATGGTATGCGTTCAGCTCAAACTGCACTTCCGAGCGTCTCTGATATATCAGATCCCGGTTCGTCGACGTTTTAGTTCCGAGTCTTGTTATATTGGTCCTGGGACGTACCACTGGTACTTTGGACCATCGTCTTGGTTTTTTGCCTCCCTCCAGACTGGCCTGTCACGACATATTTCATCGAGCGTCCTGCAGGGTCGTCTGACAACTCTGGTCTGAACTTCTTTCTCTTTCAGCTCGTGGTTGTCGAGTGCGTGGCCAGCCGACGTACCACCGAGGTCATCGCAACATGTTCCATACCTTCCAGTCGTCCGTGGGTATGCGCTCGCCCGGGATAGACAGCGACAGCGCAGGAAAACCATCACGACCACCTGGCTCACGACGGATTTCCACCAGCAACGCATGTGTCGAATGCAGGAGACGCAAGATTCGGTGTGACGGTTCACAACCTTGCGGACAATGCCAATGGTATCAGCACCCTGAGGCATGTGGCTATTCGAAGCCTGCCCAGCGAGTTGTGCCCAGCAGAAAGTGAGCATTCTAGAACACTGCCAGGACGAATTTGGCGCTAATCAGTTTGGTAGACTAGTCGACAAGCTTTCCAACAACATCGAACAGTACAAGACCATCTTGACAAAGCTGTACGGAGTCAAGAACCTGGAATCGCTCGCTAATCTTCCGCGGGAAGAATTGCTAGAACTGGCTCTGTCATCCTCAGCGAACCACCCAACGACATCACCATCGGCGGCCGACTCGCAAGCCTTATCCGACGCCCAAGCTGGATCTGATGGAGCCGAGAGCTTGGAAGCGCTCGAGCAGGCGCCGCCTGAAGATCCTTACTGGGACGAGGCACGGAAGCACCAACTCCGTGTCCAAGGCATCTCCGACGATGTGAACGGGCTATCAATGTCGGTCGACCGCCTGTCTTCTTACGTTGGCATCTCGTCAATCACAGCCGCACTAAAGGTTATCGTGCGATGCGCGCCTCAGGCACGTTCACTAATCGCACATAACAGCCAGGAGACTGCGCTACCAAGCCGTGCAGGCTCACCGCCACCAGAGCTAGCAGATAACAGACCTGATGCTCTACCGCCTCCTCAGCATGGCCAAGAATTGCTTGAAAGCTACTTCGACCGCGTTCATCCTTTTTGTCCTATGATCGATGAGCGCAAGTTTTGGTCCACGTTCTTATACGGTAACCGCAAGGACTCAGCATGGCTTGCACTACTCAACATGGTCTTCGCGCTGGGGTCGCTTGCCTCCCTAGCTGCGGACAACGAAGCTCACTATGTCTACTTCAATCGGTCTCGGCGGCACCTGTCTCTCGAGTCGTTCGGAAGCGGCAATCTGGAAGTCCTCCAGGCTCTGGCTATCATGAGCGGATACTACATGCATTACCTCAACCGCCCGAATGAAGCGCATTCGTTGATGGGGGGTACGCTTCGTATGGCTACTGCGCTTGGTCTGCATCGTGAGTACTCAGAGCGGAGCGACGCGAGTAGACAGTTTATGGCGCCGGGTGAGGAAGACTCGATATCGCCTGAGATGCGCCGGCGCATCTGGTGGAGTCTGTTTTGCTTGGATTCGTGGGCTTCGACTACGACTGGACGGCCTTCGCTGGGAAGAATGGGGCCGTCAATTACTGTTCTGAGACCAGGCACGGCTGTGAACGCTGTAAGACTTACTGATGCATGTTTCAAAGCGCAATACTGACGTCACGATAGCCTCAGAGTATTCCACTACCCAATAGCCCTCAGTACATCGAGCAGCTCAAGATCCTTCCTCTAGTTCACGCCTCAGCATTCTGTCAGATCGCTACGAGGATACAGGACCGACTTGTCGAGTCGCCACTCCTTTCCTCTACAGAGACAGCCAGCTACGACGCGCAGGTTGTAAAGTGGCACGAAGAGCTACCATCAATCCTTTCCAACCCCGATGAGCCGTGTCCAGAGTTTCTCCGACGAACGCGCTTGGTCATGAAGTGGAGGTTTCAAAACATCCGCATCATCCTCCACCGCCCCATCTTGCTCACTGCCGCACTCCGACGCTCCCCATGGGTCGCCCTGAGCGCAGACGAAAAGGTCGCAGTAGGCAAATGCCGACTGATCGCCTCCAAGACCATCGAAGAGATCAGCCAGGAATGCATGCCCGACCTCATCTCCGGTTGGAACGCAGTTTGGTTCTGCTTCCAAGCGTGCATGGTCCCACTCGTCTCCCTCTTCAGCGACACGAGCATACCAGAAGAAGTCGAAAAATGGAAGACCAGTATCGAAACAGCACTCACATTCTTCGAGACAGTCAAAGACTGGAGTATCGCAGCGAAAAGAAGCGGCGACGCAGTCACTCGCCTCTACGCAGCATACAAAACGAACGTCTCTACACTATCACACCAAACCCAGCCAACCATGCCACACATCCCGCACCCCCAACAGTACCACCCACAACAACCTCATCCCCACAGCCAGACACATACCCACTTCGCCATCCCCGGTTCCTCGACCGCACCTCCCATGCTCAACACCCACGCCGCCGCCTACACACCACAGCACCCATCGATGCCACAACCCCAACAGCAACACCCATCTTCCTTCGGCCACCACTATAACCCTGCAACACCCACCTGGGCCAGCGCCAGCAACGACCCCACTATTCTGAACAATTTCTGGGACGACATGATGTGGGATACCAATTTGCCGGATATGCTCGAGACACCGTTTGGCCTAGGGAATGAATATGAGTTTGGTGGTGCGGCGCAGGATTCTGGGGCGCAGGGCGCGTGTTGGATGCATGGGAACTAACGGTAACGCTGAGGAGCGTTGACGTGACGCTCCTTTACCGCAAAAGACACAGTATGCACAGCATTGGGGGCTCGGCGAATCACTGGAACGCAGATCCGATACACAAATGCCCAGGACGACTTCATCCACCGACACCGGGCAAGAGCGGCCCAGTCGCTCGCATACCCACCCTCCTATCTCCCCTCCATGCCCCTCGATTCCCGGCATACGGAGCCTGCACGTTGTCTACAGCCGTAGCACAAGCTGCAGCAAGCAATATACAACAGCCGGCACCGGCACCCGTAGACGCGCAGTCTACGCGACATGGATGCTGAGGCACCCTTGTCCTTCGTCTCATGTATATTTGCATGGTATATCCGTGCTTCCGCGCGCGTCTCGGGAAAGTGGGAGAAAAGATTATTAACGCGGACGGCGGGTTGGAAATAGATCGGCAGTAGCTGTGTGTGTGTACGTGGAAAGGGCTTCTGGAATTGCGATGCCGAAGCCGCGGTGTTTGTGGCTGTTGATCCTGTTGATCATGATATTACTGGGTTGGATGAGAGTGAGGCTGGCTGCCATCTTTGGGCTAGAGTGTTGAGGGCAGCGCTGCATGTGTCCATTTCCTCTCACATCTTCACGCATCAACATCTTTCTATCCTTTTTCCGCGTACATCCCTCCTTCCCCTCACGTCTCTTACCCGTCTCTTTACCCCTTCGCCATTCCATCACCAAGTACCGCATACAGGGTTAGACGTTTTCCCGAGCTCCTTTTCACACTTTGTTATAGACCAGGGGGGTGAGCATTATGATACCCCGGATTCTGGTGGTGGCTAAATAGCTAGTGGAGATGCGATGTTGATCGCATGCATGCATGCACGCACGTTGGATGTAGTTAGATATAGAACTTGAACACGTACGTCGCTGTTTGCCGAATTCAGAGAGGGAGTGCGTGAGAGCGTTGTTGAGGTGATGTGTGATGGGCTTAACAGAGGACATATAGGGGGACGTTACGAGGTGAGGTGAGTTACTCCACCTTTTTGGGGTGGGAGGGCGTGTTTAGGCTAAGAGGGTGCGTGATGGTCGGAGTGGTCACTTGGAACAACTACTTGTACTGCAATGCTACGGCTGGTCGATTGAGATGGACATTCGTACATGAGGATATGTCAATAATCTCCATCACGCGACTCACCAAGTCTATCACAACAGCAACACACCACAATCTTCACTTCACCACCAAGCCCACAGCAGACACAATTTCTTGACCATCTTGGCAGCAACACCAATTGCTTAACCGACCTGTATGCTCATCGGTGAGGATGCGCAAGTCGTGCTGATATGCTGTGTGAGCTGGTGAGGTATATGCAGGGTTCACGATCCATCCGTAGATGTTGAGTGTGCAAGTGAGAAACGTGACGCACGTGGTCGTGTTCAACGTGGCAGGCCAGCCGAGGTGAGCGGGGCGCCGATGACGGAATGGGTGCGTGTGTTATCGATAAGACACTTAGGGATCTTGTCTTGGAACGCTGCTGCGTGTGCGGGCTGGGCGCGATAGACTCCGCGCGCTAGGTTTTGGAGGTATGCTTGGTAGGCGGTAGTAATTTGTACCGTGGTACGGGTGCATGGTGACAGATGATAGACGGGCCCTGGAAGTTGGGTTTGTAGGGGCCTCGGGATGGTCTGTCTAGATACCGCAATACCTTGAAAGACAAGTTCGCAAACAAAGGAGTCGGGACGATTAAACAAAGTTCACCTATCACCACGCCGCGCATCTCCCCCACGTGTACGCTGGAAGCTTGGCCACAAGCGGTCGATCGCAACTATGGCGCTTGGCTGGCTTGCTTCACCGGACCTATTTCACCGCCGCCATCACTGGCATCTGTGAAGGGAGCGCGCAATTGCTTCAGTATCCATCTGCACTCGTCCACATCAGCGTGCGAAAGCGATAGACCACCGCAACAATGTCAGAACCCGATCTGCACCGCGCCATATCCATGAAACCGCACCCGTTCCACACGCACCCGGACCGCATAGAACGCACATCAAGTCCCCACCACGCGCACCTCAGCGCCAGCAGCAGCAACAACAGCCCCAGCGCGCAACACGCCCACAGCCATGCCGACGCTTCAACTCCGCGCAAGAACGACGCCAGCAGCACCGCCATCGAAACCACAGCCCCAACACCGTCCCACGACCCCATAGCCCGCCACATCCGCCACCACCCCGACGTCTCAGACCTAGAATCGCAATCGCCCCCCTCCTACACCCCCGACAACGACCCCTACTCCCTCTCCTCCGCCATAAAACCCGAATCCGAACTCGCCCTCATCCGCGCCAACACCTCGCGCAAACGCGATGGCTGCGGGCCCATCACCCTCAACAAGGCCGCGACGTCAGCGAAGAAGCTCGAGGAGTTTTACTCTGCCCAAAATGAGAATATAGAGAGGTTGCTTAAGCCCGTGGCGGAGCATAGGGCTGCGGCGAAAGATGAGGATACGGCGAATCATCTCAAGTATAAGATTGCGGTTATTGGGAGTTTTGCTGCGAATATTATACTGGCTGTGTTGCAGCTTTATGCGGCGGTGTCTTCGAGGTCGCTGTCGCTGTTTACGACTATGGCGGATTCGCTGTTTGATCCGTTGAGCAATCTTACGCTGATTATGTGCAATCGCGCTGTTGCGAGGGTTGATGCGAGGAAGTTTCCCTCCGGGAAGGCGAGGATTGAAACGGCAGGCAACCTGTCGTTCTGTGCGCTTATGATTACTGTTTCGGTGGTTATTATCGTCGAGTCTATCCGCACAGTCGCCGAACATAACGGTCCTGAGACGAACGACTTCTTCCTTCCGTCGGTTATCGCCGTCAGCATAGCGTTCGCGACAAAGTTCAGTCTGTTCCTGTACTGTTGGGCGCTGAGGAACAAGTACAGCCAAGTCCGCATTCTGTGGGAGGATCACAGGAACGATCTCTTCATCAACGGCTTCGGTGTCTTGACTAGTATCGGTGGATCGAAGTTGAAGTGGTGGTTGGACCCCATGGGCGCGATGATACTTTCAGTTTTGATCATCTTCCTTTGGTCGAGGACGGCGTACTCGGAATTTCAGCTCCTCATTGGTGTTACGGCTGATACTGCTATGCTGCAGCATATCACGTATATCTGTAAGATATCCTCCCACTCCGACTATTTCCTTCATCCTACTAATTGTTCTCGCAGCGATGACACACTCCCCAACTATACTTCAAATCGACACCGTACGCGCATATCACTCCGGCCCCCGCCTCATCGTCGAGGTAGACATCGTCATGGACCCCGAAGCTACACTACGTGCTACACATGATGTAGCCGAGGAACTCCAGATCAAGCTGGAGAGTTTGCCCGATGTGGAGAGGGCGTATGTGCATGTAGATTACGAGACAGATCACAGGCCTGAGCACTTCCTGAAGAAGGAATTGTAAGTCAGTCTGAATGGTAGGCGGCATTAAAGTGAACGTGACAACAAGGGCAACGAGATGGACGCGCAAGGTGTTTTGCGATGAGTCATGTATGCGGCATATATCCATACCGACTGTTTATAACATTCTGTATATACTGTTGTTACGATATCACGCCATCGTTGCGATCAGGATGTCAACACATCATTGCCCTACTCATAGCGATGTAGGCTGATCTAAGCCAATAAAGCGAACATTGCAGATTTGTGGATATGATTGGTTGAGTCCTACGATTCGCCACTCTGCTTCACCGGTTTTCGTGAACGACCTCAAAACTTCAGCCTTGTCGCACTTTCCGACTTCTTACGACTGTGTCACTCATCGTTTCACTCACTCGAGCACAAAATGAGTAGCCTACAACCTGCTTTCACATATCGACCGCTTTCCGAGTCATCGTCCGAAGCACTTGAAACGCGACTCATATACCTACGACCGGGTGACTTCGATGATAGTATCCACTGTACGATTTACCACGCCAATATCCTCCAAGAGCGGCCGCAAATAGAGTACACTGCATTATCATACGTATGGGGCGATCCGAAGCGAAAGCTCTCTATTCAACTTGGTTACCACCAGCTTTCGTCAAGTGGAACTGTTTCCGCACGGGCATCTGCTCTATCACCAGAGGCTGATTGCTACACAGCATTCGGAGTTACGACAAACTTAGAGAAGGCATTACGACATTTACGAGATCGCGCATCAGGGCGCATACTTTGGGTCGATGCCATATGTATTAACCAGTCTGATAGGGAGGAATGTCTTTCACAAGTACGACGCATGCGAACAGTCTACGAACAGGCCCTAGAGGTGCGCATCTGGCTAGGATCCGTGAGTGACATATGCAATTTCACGCCTGATTTGCAAGAAAACGATGCAAACGACCTGTTGAGAGGAGTACAGGTGGATGGAAAATCCTACTCTCGCCTATCACCAGAAGAAGTTGCAGGAGCAGCCTTGAGTAGTGACAAAAGCATCATGGGGAGAGCACTTCTCGCAGCCGTGGACTACGTCATGGATAACGACCGTCTGATAGATCGAGAGGATGATCATGTTCGTCTTCCCGATGAACTGCAGGCTCTCGGTATACGGATCATAGCGATGCAACCCTGGTGGCGACGTGTGTGGGTAATTCAAGAAGCCACAATGCCAGAAGAGGACCCCGTCATGCAATGCGGCTACATGCAAGTCAGATACCGCAGATTCCTCGAAGTGGCGAAACGCTGCATGCTTCAAGATCCACCATCACTACTCCCCCGGACACATATATCCCTCATCGTTCACGATACATTTCACAAGGAATACGAACCGTCCGAAAAATCTTCCGCGAGCCAGCTACTTACCTACCTGAGTTGTATGAGCGGAAATTTCGAAGTGAGCAAGCCCAAGGATAGGGTAAATGGCGTGTATGGCAAGTTCAGAATGTACGGTCCTCATGATAACATCCTGTTTTTTATAATATATGACCAACAGGAGCAGACGGACACAGTATTCTTTCACCAGGTCGCTGTATGGATCCTGTTTGACGCGCATCCTTC